TATAGGAATAATAACAACTGTGAAGAGGATTTCTTGAGTTACTGCAGTGGAAACATGAAATATTGGAGTGTGAAAAAAGATATTTCAACCATGTCTTTGAGAATTTCCAGGCTGCTTAAAGATAGCAGAAAAATTATAAGAACGAATGGAGTGATTTGCCATACATAACATATATTTTAGATGGCTTTGTTCTTTGGCTTTCACCACCTTATACACCCTCATTTATAAGGTTTCATTTGCTAGAACTGAAAAGACAGAGCTAAAGAAACCTACAACTTACTAAAAAATATAAGAAATGATAGATTTGAAAGAAATAAATGAAAGACCTAACATATTTTATATCTATAAGACTTAACATCCATTCTAAATTCTTATAACCCTCACGGCACTGGTAAGTACTAGTAACCTCATTTTACGTATGAAGACACTGAAGTCCAGGGAGTTAGGTACGTTCCCCAAGGTTGATATAACTAATAAGTAGAGAATTACATATTAACTAATTATTTGACCCCAGTCCAACTGACTCATTAACCTGTTACTTATCTAAGACACAGTACTAACTGCAGACAAATGGAAAATAACTAACTTTGTGCTCTGTGGAGCATGGTACAGTTCATGTTACTAACTAATCACGTCTGATATATTTACCACTAAATGAGCTTCTTGATGACAAAAATCATGCTTATTTATCGGATGCATTTTGAATATATATTATAGTGCCTGGAACAAAGATGCCGAATGAACTGCAAAATTACTAAAAACACAGAGAAAGAACGCCCAGAATGGGTGTCTGTTCTGTATTTGGGATGTGGGAGAGGAACCAACTTTATTCTACTCTCAAGATTCTTCTGGTTGGTCTAATAATCAAATAGACATGAGATAGATTAGCAAGGAAAAAAATAATCAAATTTAATGCATGTATATGTATGGGAACCCCACATGCATAAGATAGAGACCCCACATGCATGAAAGGTTTAGGAATAGAAAGGGAACATGGATATATGAGACATCCTGAGCTGGGGATGAAGTAAAGTACTTTGGGGGCTTCAAAAGTTTATTGCAGGCTGGTAAGAAGAGAAAACCTTTAGTAAATACAAGTTTGCCCTGACCTACAGAAGTTATCTCTGATCATCTTTTATAGGCAAAGCCTCTAATTCAAGTTCTTCTAAGTAGGTAAGGGGGTGGGGCAAGTCAGAAGTTTTTCTTGAGCCTGCTAGGTAAAGTTGTTTTTGGCTCAAAACAAACTGCATACCACAGAGGCACATCCTGTGGTGACTTGTTCTGGATCCCCACAGAGACAAGATAGTTCTATAGATCCTACTGGATGAAATGAAAATCTTTTGTTGATCAGATCATACCTCCAATATGACCATATGTGATTTCAAATAGAAGTATTGTAGTGATGCGTAGAACATCAGTGAATCAGAGCGTTGCTATTTGGATATGATATGAAAGCAATTACTTATAATCACTCCTGCTGGGAGACATCTAATATAAATATACTCTTGACTGTATGAAAATAGAAGTAGGAAGCATGTAGATGGAAGGCGGAGGTGTGCTTTACTGTCACGTGTTGACATGCCTTATGGCTAGTAACCTGTTCATCAACCAAACAGCTCACAGATTTGAAAGGAATCCAAGTATTCTAGAAAAGATGATAAAATGATAATATAAGAGTTAAGTGGAAGAATAAAAGTCTAAGATGGAACGATGAAAGTATAAGTAGAAAACATGTCAAAGAGCTGGAATGTTTTCAGAAACGCAAGCTCTTCTGCTGTCACGGCAATTTTTGGCTTTGATTCTCCCAGGAAGAGGAGGCATAAATGATCAAGGGAATCAAGATTACACTCAGAAACGTTTATAGCTTCCTGTGGTGAGCGTTTATTGTTTCTCTCTGCCAGATATCCTGTCTCCCCTCTTTATTAAAGAGAACTCTTTACATGTAGCTGGGTTGGAAATCATTCCTTTTAGTCCCAAGGTGTGTGATATAGATCCAGGCCTAGCCAATCACAGACCAGACCTGCAGGGCCAGAGATTTAT